CATCTTGAGGTAGGCCTGTAGTGCTAAAAACTTGCCTCTTAGAACAGCTTTTGCAGATGGGGGGGATAGGGTAAGGGGCACTAAGGAAGACACTTGTTGGGATGAGCACTGGGTGTCATACTCGGGAGAATCACTGGAATCTACTCCTGAAATCATTATAGCACTATATGCTAACTAGTATGTATATTAAAAAAAAATTTTACATGTAAAAAAAAATAATTTGTAGAATAAAAAAAAAGAACAGCTTCTCCTGCATCCCAAACATGTTGGACCATTATGTTTTCATTTTCTTTTGTCTCAATGTATTTTTTGATTTCCTCTTTGATTTCTTGGTTGACACATTTGTTGTTTAGTAGCATGATATTTAACTTCCATGTATTTGTGTTGTTTCAGATTTTTTTTCTTCTGGTTGATGGCTAGTTTCATAGTGTTGTAGTCAGAAAAAGATGTATGGTATGACTTCTTTTTTAATTTCTTGAAACTTGTTTTGTGGCCTAACATGAAATCTATACTGGAGAGTGTTGTGTTTCCACTTGAAAAGAATGTGTATTCTACTGTTTAATGATGGAATGTTCTGAATATACCTATTAGATCCATCTGGTGCTATGTGTCATTCAAAGCCACTGTTTTCTTGTTGATTTTTTTTTAGGTGATCTATCCATTGGTGTAAGTGGGGTGTTCAAGTCCCCTACTATATTGTAATACTATTGATTATTTCCTTTATGTTTGTTATTAGCTGTTTTATGTATTTGGATACTCCACGTTGGCTGCATAAATATTTACAGTTGTTCTATCTTGTTGGATTTTTCCCTTTATGATTATATAGTGTCCTTCTCTATCTCTTGTTACAGTCTTTGTTTTAAAGTCTATTTTGTCTAATATAAGTATTGCTCCCCTGGCTCTCCTTTTACTTCCATTTGCATGAGAACTGCTTTTCTGTTACTACACCTAATGCAAGGTTCAATCCCACAACCCTGGGGAACCCTCCTGAGCTGAAATCAAGAGTCAGACACTCAACTGATTTAGCCACCCAGGCACCCCTGCATGTATCTTTAGTATGAAATGAGTCTCTTGGAGACAGCATATAGATGGGTCTTGCTTTTTTGCATCCACTCCAAAACCCTATGTCTTTTGATTGAAGCATTTGGTCCTTTTATATTCAAAGTAATTATTGATAGGAATGCATTTATTGCTATTTTATTGCTTGTTTTACGTTTGCTTTGTAGTTCTTCCCTGTTCCTGTCTTCTCTTGCTCCCTTCTCTCAAGGTTTGCCAGCTTTCTTTAGTGACAGACTTTGGATTCTCTTCTATTTATTTTTTTACTTATCTATTACTGGTTTTTGATTTTTGGTTACTATTAGGTTTATATATGACATCTTCTGTATATAGCTGTCTATATTAAAATGATGGTCGCTTAAGTTTGGACCCATTCTTCACTCCTGTCCTCCCCACCTATGTTTCAGGTATGTGGTGTTATACCTTACATCCTTTTATTTTGTAAATCCCTTGACTGATTTTTATAGCTGTACTTAATTTTACTACTTCTGTGTTTCCTACTTTTCTTATTCCTACTTAGGATGTTTCTTTCCACTCAAAGAATCCTCTTTTAATATTTCTTGTAGGGCTGGTTTTGTGGTGCTGAATTCCTTTAACTTTTGTTTGGGAAACTCTATCTCCTTATATTCCAAATGATAGCCTTGCAGGATAGAGTATTCTCTCTCTCTTTTGTTTTAAGTATTTATTTATTTTGGGGGAGAGAGAGTGAAAGAAAGACAGCATGTGGGGAGGGGCAGAGAGAGGGAGACAGAATCACAAGCAGGCTCCGCACTGTCAGCGCAGAGCCCGACACAGGCCCTGACCTCATGAACCATGAGATCATCACCTCAACCAAAATCAAGAATCTGATGCTCAATGAGTCACCCCAACACCCCTAGATAGAGTATTCTTGATTGCAGATTGTTTTTTTCTTTCAGCACTTTGAATATATCATGTCTTCTCCCTTCTTGCTTACAAAGTTTCTGCTGAAGAATCAGCTGATAGCCTTGTGGGGTTTTCCCTTGTACGTAACTTTTTTTTCTCCTGCTGCTTTTAAAACTATAGTTTGCCATTTTAATTTCTACATGTCTTGGAGTAGACCTCCTTGGATTGATTTTTGTTGGGAGCTTTCTGTGCCTCCTGGATCTGGATTTCTGGTTTCTTCCTCAGATTTTGGAAGTTTTCAGTCCCCCTTTTGTCCCTTCTTTTTCTGGGATCCTTATAATGTGAACGTTATTACCTTTGATGGTGTTGCTGACTTTCCTAAGTGTCGTTTCATTATTTATTTATTTATATTTTTGTCTCCTTTTCAGCTTGATTGTTTTCCATTACTCTTTCCTCCAGATCACTAATCTCTTCTTGTGCTTCCTCTAGTCTACTATTTCTTCCACCTATTTTATTTTTAATTTCAGTTTCTGAGTTTCTCATCTCTGATTGGTTCTTTTTTATGTTTTCTATCTCTTTCTTAATGGTCTCACCGAAGTCTCTTCCACTCTTGTCTGAAGTCCAGTGAGTATAATTATGACCAATACTTTAACTTCTCTATCAGGCATATTACCTATCTGTTTCACTTATTTTTCCTGTTCTTTCATTTGGGACACATTCTTCTGTCTCCTCGTTTTGTCTAACTCTGTATGTCTGTGTCTGTGTGTTATGAAAGTCAGCTACACCTCTTACACTTGAAAGTAATGGCCTTTTGAAAAAGAGGTTTTATAGAGCCCTGCAACACAGTTGCTCCCTGTTCACCAGAACCTGGAGTTTCAGAGGTGTCTCTTATGTGTGTTGTGTGTGCCTTACTGTTGCCTTCAGCCCAGTCATCTGCAATGGCTCTCTTTGCCTGTTGTAGGTAGGATTTAGTCCCAATGCTCTTAATGAGCCAGTCTTTGGTTGCCTTGGGTTTGAGTTGACTCAGACCCAGCATTTGCCAGACACAATAGCATAGGTGTTTTGCCCTGACAAGCTTTCTTTCTGTCTTTTTTTTTTTTAATGTTTGTTTATTTTGAGAGAGGGAGAGGGTGGGGGAGAGTCAGAGAGAGAGAGAGAGGAAGACAGAATCTCAAGCAGGCTCTGTACTGTTAGCACAAGCCCAATGCGGGGCTCAATCTCATGAACAGTGAGTCAGTCGCTTAACCGACTGAGCCACCAAGGATCCCCACCATAACAAGCTTTCATTAGTGGCTGGGTACTGCAGCCAGACAAGATGTCTGCCCCCACCCTATTGCTGGGGCTGCATTTGAAATGGTGTGTGTGGTTATCTTTTTCTCTTCCCATGGTAGGGGTCACTTTGGAGTGGTGCTGGCCCCTTTCAGGGCTGCTTGCACACTGCCAGGCTTGTGGCATCACTTTGGATGGTCTCAGTGCCCAGGGAATATTTAAGGACTTGGACTCTGCTTTCCTGGTTTCTGAGTTCAGAGCCCTCTTATTTTTAATGTTTCAAATGTTAAAGTCCTGCTGATTGTAAGAACTTGTGAAATTTTGCCTCTATGGCTTTCAAAGCCAAATGTTATGGAGCTTCATCTTCCTGGTGCCTAGGGTGTCCATTTCTCTCTTCTCCCTGTGCTCAGCATCCTCCCTCCCACAGACAGTCCCACAGAGAGTCTGTTGGGTCTGTTTAGCTCCCCACCACCTCTAGCCCTTCCTACCCTCTTTGACATGGCCTCTTCTCTGTATTTAGCTGTGTAGAGGCTGCTCTGCCAGTCTTTGGTGATTTTCTGGGTTATTTACATTTATATGCTTGTTACCTAGTTGTATCCATGGAACAAGGTAAGCTTAAGATCCTCCTCCTCCACCTTCTTCCAGATATAATCCCTGTAGTGGAAAATTTTAAAGTATATATATTTCTGTTGGATTGCACTGATCTAGATCATGACACATCTCCCTTAAGAACAGCAGTCACAATCAGTTAATTATTAAGAAAGGAAAGACAAAGGCATGTCAGAGGGTTCCCAACAAATATGGCATTATCTTTCTTTGCCTCTTATTAATAATTTGTATATTTGGTTTATTTTCCCTATAGGACCAAAAATATCTTTATTTACAGTGACTAGTTTACTAATTTTTATATTCCTTGCAGATTCTCGTACTCTTAATATACAGTTGACCCTTGGGGCACCTGGGTGGCTCAGTCGGTTAAGCATCCAACATCAGCTCAGGTCATGATCTCGCAGTTCGTGAGTTCGAGCTCTGTGTCAGGCTCTGTGCTAACAGCTCAGAGCCTGGAGTCTGCTTCTGATTCGGTCTGTCTCTCTCTGCCCCTCCCCCACTCACACTCCGTCTCTGTCTCTCAAAAATGAATAAATGTTAAAAAATATATTTTTTTAAATATACAGTTGACCCTTGAACAACAGAGGTTTTGAACTCTGTGGGTCCCCTTATAGTTTTTGATACAGTTTGATACAGTTTTGATACAGTTTGATATAGTTTTGATACAGTTTGTACAGTTTTTTGATACAGTATAGTATTGTAAATATATTTTTATCTTCATTGTGATTTTCTCAATAACATTTTCTTTTCTAGCTTACTTTATGGTCAGAATATAGTATGTAATACATATAACATAGAAAATATGTGTTAACTGACTGCTTATGTCACTGGTTAAGGCCTCTAGTCAACAGTAGGCAATTAGTAGTTTTTTGGGGGAGTCAGAAGTTATACATGGACTTTTGACTATGCAGGCATCGGCACCCCTAATCCCCATGTTGTTCAAGGGTCAACTGTATATGTTTTACATTAAATTGAAATAATTGGTAAGTATGCTATTTTAATTTGGTCTTAGATGATTGAGTTTATCTGTTAATCATATTTTCATATTTTTTCTGACATCAGTTACCTTTAACTTAAGTTTAATAAAATTACAGGAAGTTCTTTAGAATCTTACTGTGATCTATTACTATATCAAAAATTATTGTTTTCCTTCCAAAATGTTGACATCTGTAGACACAGACTGAATCAACTATTTGTTTTAGGATATAAAGATCAAGAATGCAGACTCTTGGAAAAGTTTAGGCAAACCAGTCAAAACATCAGGTGTACTAAAGTCCTCAGATGAGCTCTTCAACCAATTTAGAAAAGCAGCAATAGAAAAAGAAGTAAAAGCTCGAACACAGGAACTAATTCGGAAACATGTGGAACAAAATACAAAGGAACCAAAAGTATTGCAAGAAAATCAGAGGTCTGTAATTTACTGGATTATAACTTGGGAGATATGGACTTTTTTTTTTCCATTTATCAGTTCCTTTTTATTTATTCAAGTATTCATTCATATCTGCATGCATTGACTATGTATAGCAATCTCCATTCCCTATGATGGACATATAATTTTAAATATATTAAATTTCTTTTTTGTCAAGTGACCATGATTAAGCTATTTAGTAGAATACAGAGCAAATTATAACTGCAAAAAGCAAATTTTTATTGATTTTTTTTAATTAACAAGTAGTATCTACTTTGAAGAGGATAGAACTTATCAAGTGATTAAACTATCAAAGATACTAATGTAACTAAATTAGAAAGACGTTGTTTTCCAGAAATGTCTTAATGTTTCCATTCTATGTGTAAGAACATAATACAGTTGTATATAACCTTGGTCACAGTTTCTATGTAAACTTCTCTTTGTTAATATAGATTGTCTTTGTAAAATTTGACATCAAAAGTTAAGCTTAAAAATGGCATCATAACAAAAACCAACATCACAACATGACAAGGGGAATCTAAAACACTGCTTTATATTTATACTTTAATGACATATCTTTGTAACGTAATAAAAACTTTTAAGGAACTTTTGAAACCCACTTTGAGCTATACTGTTTCTTTAAGGGACCTTGGCTGCATTCAACAATCTTTTTCAAATAAAATGCAAAACCAGTGCCTTGGAAAAGAGCAGAAAGAACATCAGCAGTCTTTGGAAACTCAAGATAAATACAAACTCTTGCTTCTCAAAGACCGTAATTTAGCAAGGGAGAAAGAGCAAGAGCGGAGGAGGAGAGAAGCAGTAAGTAAATTTTAGTTCATTAAATCTAAGGAAAGATTTAACAGAGTACTGTCTTTTACATGTTCAAAGATATATTCAGGGTGATTTTCCGTGACAGTGGAGTTACATCTTTAGTGAGGATCAAGTTTTAAAATCAGAGCCTAAAATAAAACTTTTATACTCGAAGATCTAGAATATAATCATAGAGTATTGTCTTAGAGCTACGAGACTATGTGGTTCAAATACTAGTTCTCCCATTTTCTAGACTTTTGGGCTTGGCAATTTATTTAACCTCTCTGTACCTCAGTCTACTTGTCGGTAATAAATAATACCTATTCTAAAGATGGAATGAATTTACATGTAGTAAACACATAGGAAAGTGCCTGGCACATAAAGTGGTTCATTACTTACAGTTATTACTCTTGAAAAAATCAATAAACTATCTATAAATTATGGCCCAGAGTTATGCCATCTGCATAACTGCCCCAGGTCAGTGTTTCTTTAGTTCAACACTAGAGGAAGAAGTTGACTTCTATTATATGTCAACTATATCTTAATAAGATTGGAAAGAAAAAAAAACCTGACTTGCTTAGGAGTCTTAATATACAGAAAATGATGTTTTAAAAACTAGGATTTCTTCTTTCATCCATGGATTATTTTTTCATTTTTATTTTGTTTTGTTTTTTATTTTGAGAGGGGGTAGAGAGAGAGGGGGGGGAGAGAAAGAATCCCAAGCAGGCACCATACTGCTGGCTCAGCACAGAGCCTGATGTGGGGCTCAGTCTGCAAACCATGAGATCATGACCTGTGTTGAAATCAAGAGTCGGATGCTTAACCCACAGAGCCACCCAGGTGCCCCTCAGCCATGGATTATTTATTTAGAAGTATATTAGTTTCCAAATATTTGGGAATTATCTGGCTAGTAATTTGTTATTAATTTCTAATTAAATTCCAGTGTAATCAGAGAATATATAATGTATTGGATCCATTGAGACTTTTTTTTTTTTAATTTTTATTTTGAGAGAGGGAGCATGAGTGGGGGAGGGGCAGAGGGAGATAGTAAAAATCCCAAGCAGGCTCCACTCTCAGCTCAGTGCAGAGTCCAACTTAGGGCTCAATCTCATAACCGATGCTTAACTGACTGCACCACTCAGGCGCCCCCACTGAGACTTTTTTTAATGGTCCACATTATGGTCTACCTTGGTAAATATTCTGTGTGCACATGAGCAGAATGTATGTTCTGGTGCTGTTGGGTAGCCAAGTTGGTTGAGCATGTTGTTCAAGACTCCTATATTCTTGCTGATTTTCTGCCTGCTCATTTTACCAAATGTCCAGAGGGGGCATTGGCATCTATGATTGTATGATTTGCAGATTTGTCTTTTTATCTTTGTAATTCTATTTTATTTCACGTATTTTGAAGCTGCATTGTTAGGCACCTAACATTTAGGGTTTTTATGGCCTCTTGATTAATTGACCCCCTTTTCATTACAAAATGAGTTACTTGATTCCTGATATTATTTACTCTGAAATATAACCACTTCAACTTTTGTATGACTAGTGTTGGCATGATTTAAAAAATGTTTTCATCCTTTTATTTTTAACCTACCTGTGTTTTTATATTTAAAGTGAGTTTCATGTAGGCAACATGTATTGAGATCTTTTTTTTTTTAATCCAATCTCTGCCTTTTATAGGAGTGTGTAGATCAACTGCGTTCAATATGATTATTGATATGGTTAAGTTTGAGTGCAACATCTTGTTCTTTTCTGTTTGTCCATTCTTTTTATCTCCTTTTTTTCCTGAATTCTTTTAATCAAGCATTTTTATGATCCCATTTTATTTTCTTCATTGACTTATTATCACGAACACTTTGTTATTTGATGGTTGCTTTAGGATTTTAGTACATACATTAGCTTAGCACAGTGTTCCTGTGAGTTATGCTATACCACTTCACATTTGATAGAATAGCTTTACAACAGTGTACTTCCATTTCTACCTTCCCTGCTTTTATGCTAATATTTAAGCCATAAAATAATCTTTTTAAAAGTTTTAAATAAGTTAAAATTTTATGTTTACCTGTGTAGTTACCATTTCCAGTGCTCTTCGTTCATTTAGCTCCAGATTTCCAAATGATACAATTTTCCTTCTTCCTAAAGGACTTTTAACATTTCTGGTAGCGTAGGTCAGTTGGTAATGAATTCTTTCAGCTTCTGTGTATCTGAAAATATCTTTATTTGGCCTTTTTATATCAGTAATAGACTTTATATTTTAGAGCATTTTAGATTCACAGCAAAGTTGAGCTTAAAATACAGTGAGTTTCCACATACTTCTCCCCTCCTCCCATCAACACAAAACTTTCCACACCATCAGCACCCCACAGTCCATGAACCAACATTAACACATCACTGTCAACCTTGGTTTATCAAGCAAAATCCATAGTTTACTTCAACATTCACCCTTAGTGTTGTACTTTTTATGGGTTTGACAAATGTATGATGACATAGATCAACAATTACAGTACCATCAGATTAATTTCCCTTTCTGGGGTGCCTGGGTGGCTTAGTCAGTTAAGCATCTGACTTTTGATCTCCGCTCAGGTCTTGATCTCAGGGTTGTGAGTTCGAGCCCTGCATTGGGCTCCACACTGGGGGTGTAGCCTACTAAAAAATAAGAGTAATTTCCCTTTCTTAAAAGTCACCTGGGGGTGCTTGGGTAGCTCAGTCGGTTGAGTGTCTGACTTCGGCACAGATCATGATCTCACAGTTCGTGAGTTCAAACCCCACATAGGGCTTGCTGCTGTCAGCATGGAGCCTACATTGGATCCTCTGTCCCCTTCTCTCTCTGCCCCTACCCTACTTGTGCTCTCTCAAAAATAAATAAAACATTTTTTAAGTTTGTTTTTCTTTAAAAAAAATTGCTTGTGTGCGTTCTACTCATGCCTTCCAACCACTCATCTGTTTATCTCCATAGTTTTGCCTTTTCCAGAATGTCATATAGTTGGAATCATATAATATGTAGCTGCTTCAGATTGGTTTCTTTCATTTTAGTAATATGAATTTAAGGTTCCTCTATGTCTTTTTGTAGCTTAATAGCTTTTTTTTTCCTTTGGCTGACTAAATACTTCCATTATATGGATGTACCACAGTTTATCCATTCATCTATTGACAGACATATTGGTTGTTTCCAGCTTACAGCATTTACAGTAGACCACTATAAATATTTGTGTGCAAGTTTTTGTGTGGATGTGTTTTAAACTGGCCTTTATTTTTTTAAATATGTTTTTGCTGGATATAGAATTCTAGATGGTTAGTGTTCTTTTCCCATTATTTATTTTTGAGAGAGAGAGAGAGAGCGTGAGTGGGGGAGGGCCAGAGAGAGATGGAGACTAGAAACTGAAGCAGGCTTCAGGCTCTGAGCTGTCAGATACTTAACCAACTGAGCATGCAGCTCTTGATCTTGAGGTTGTGAGTTCAACCCTAAGTTACGTGTAGAGATTGCTTAAAAAATAAAACCTTTTTTAAAAAAAAAAAGTGGTCTGGGTAAAGATTTTAAGAATTTATTTTTGGGGCGTCTGGGTGGCTCTGTTGGTTAAGCATCCAACTTTTGATTTTGGCTCAGGTCATGATCTCATAGTTGTGAGGTCGAGCCCCACAATTCTCTCTCCCTCCACCCCTCTCCTGCTCACATGCACTCTCTCTCTCAAAAAAAAATTCTTTTGTTCCTATGGCATATTTAAAGAAATATTTATAGTTTATAAGTCACATATATTATCCTTTTGGTAGCTAAATCATAATTCTAAATCTTCTCCCACATAGCCAATAAGAATACTGATTCTCACCAAGGAAGTTAACCAATTGATTGCAAATTGGCACATTTATCCATCACTCTGGGCTGTTACTATTTACTGATAAAAAAAAATTTTTTTTTAATTTCATAGTTGGTATCATTTCAGATGCCAAAGACTAGTACCACATGGGCATTTATAGAAGGCTTCAAATATAGGAAACATTTATTTCCTTTGTCTTAATTTGCTTTTTGTTTACTTTGTTATTTTTAATGGCTTTTTAGCATTTAATGAAAAACAGTGTGCTAAATGTTACATATGCAATCTGATTCGATCTTCATAAATACCTACATTTGACAATATATAAAATAAACTTGGTTACAAAATTTGTCCTAGGTTACATAGTAAGTGGCAGAATCAAGGAAAGCCTGTAACTTTAATGTTAATAGTTTTCTCAAATAGTTAAGATGTTGGTTTATTCAGAAAATAATTTTACGTGTCTTAGCACACTATGTTGATTACAGAGGTAGATGAAACAATATAATCTCAGTTCACATTCTTAATATTTTGCCAACATTGAGACTTTACTCTCTTAGTTGAAGAGAGAAGTTAAACTTGTTCTCAGTGTTCTTGTAAGTTTTAAAACCTTTACTTATCACATGAGCAACATATTTTTTTTAATGTTTATTTATTTTTGAGAGAGAGACAGAGGGCAAGCAGGACAGGGGCAAAGAGAGAGGTAGACACAGAATCTGAAGCAGGCTCCAGGCTCTGAGCTGTCAGCACAGAGCCCGATGCGGGGCTTGAACTTACAGAGACCACAACAACATGACCTGAGTGGAAGTCAGATGCTCAACCGACTGAGCCACCCAGGTGCCCCAGATATGAGCAATATTTTAACAAAAATCAGATAGTATTTGAACAGAAATAGAAAACTACATAAACTCATTATGTTAAATAGTGTTCATTTTGTATAATTTGTTTCAAATGTTGTGTAATCATTTTTATATAGTTATAATGAAGGCATACATTTTTTAAAAGTAACATTGAATTTTTTCCTTCTTTCTACAGATGGCTGGTACCATTGATATGACTCTTCAAAGCGATATTATGACAATGTTTGAAAACAACTTTGATTAAAACTTTTTAAATTAACCATCAGCTTAAAATGAATGATTTAAAAGATTAAAATGCATATGGTAAAATGATTGCTTTCAAACACCAGGATACCAATCTTATATTGTATTTTTGACTGCTCTAAAATGATTAAACAATTTTCACTATATTTTTTAATAGCTATATGTTCATTTTCTAAATGGTGTAATTTACAGGAAATTTTATAATTTTGAATCCCTAAAAATTGAATAAATTCCCAGATTTTATTTATTTTATAAATAATAGTCTGCTATGTATTATAGGCCTGTATAAGCAATGAAAATCCGAAAGAGATAGCCCCTTGTTTAAAAATGAAAAAAATATATAAAGGTATATAAAAACCAGTTCCTGTTGAGTTTTTAACTTTTATAACAAGTATCTATCTGCCTTCAAAAACATTTAGAACCTCTAACAAATAATACTTGGTTTCTTTGAGCATCAGGTTACGTAAAATTCTCTGCTGATTCTGTATGCAAAGTTGATAATGAAATCTAGCTTAAAGAAAATGTTACCTATGGTTTGGTTGATGTTAAATTTGAGCAAAATAATAGTAAATATGATGTAAGTTTCTATAGGAACTTATACATTTCTTAATGTGAATATGTGATAGCAATGAATGTTTACATTTTTACTTAACTATATAGTATTTATTTTAAATCTGTAAATTATTTTTGTTTCATCATCCTCAAGTTGCAATTATGTATCAATCATGTGTATCTGCTTCATATATTTTAACATTTTGCACTCTTGAAGTGTAAAATGATTCAGGCAGTATTAAGATACCATCTAAAGTAAAAATTCAAAGTTTGTGTGTATTGAGAGAAAGAGGAAAAGTTTTCTTGACTTCACTTGTTTTATAATCAATATAATTTTTTGAAATACTTTAAACTACAGCCATTTTTTAAATTACGATCAACTAGTAGCTAAAATGGTGGTGACACCTTCAGGAAACAGCTAGAATTAAAGTGGCAATCATATCCACTCAACTATAGCTATTTTTTAACCAAGAAATTAGTGTGTGTGTGTGTGTGTGTGTGTGTGTGTGTGTGTGTGTATATATATATATATATATATATATATATATATATATATACTGAATAGTATGCATTATTTTCGTAAAAGATCATCTGTAGATTAGATATATCTGTGTGTGTATTTTTTTTTTTTAAGGAAGATATATCAGATATATGTAGTGATTAGCAGAGAAAATATCGGCTTACTAACTAACTGATCCTTCCTATATTAGGCATTATTTTTTAGTAAAATACTGTCACTTTTTTTTAACTTCTTGTATGGAGTTTATTTCTGTTAATTTTACGCATGAAATACTGCATGTAACTTATTTGCCTTCAACTCAAGCCTAGTTTTGTGAGGACCCCATTTCTGTCCCCATCTCTTACTACTCTCCAACTTCTAAAACAGTTTCATATTGTTTTCTGGGATTCGGGATCAGTCCTGATATAATCAAGATTTTGCTTGTTTTTTCCCTCTTTTTCTTCTTGAGTTGTCTGGAAATGTGGTCCCAGGACCAGCTGCATTAGCATCATCTGAGAATGTTTTAGAAGTGCAAATTTTCAGACTTCAGAATGACTGAGTCAGAAACTCTGGGTGCAGGGTCCAATAATTCTTAGTTGAACGGTGATTCTAATACACATTAAAGTTGGAGAACCACTGAACCTGGGCTCTCCCTTGCAAGCTCTCATTTAGTCCGTCTCTTCACTAGTGTTTTTCTTACCTTTGGGGTGCCACTTGCAGACCACCTTCCCCCCCACACCCTCGCAGTTCCTCCTTTTTATCCTCAGCTTTAAGTTTGTCATGATCATCAGACTATACCACCCATAGTCATTTACCATCCCTGGTTCACTCCTTGTTTCCCAGAGATTTTAGTCTCTGTCTCAATATTTCTCTCTAACGGACACTTCTCAGTCCCTTGACCTCCCTGCTAATGATCAAAATAGCTAATTAACTTTAACCACTCCTTTGTCATTGCCAATAACTAAAATCTTTCCTTGATCTCAATTTCAAGCACGCTAGTTTCTTACTACTTCCTCATACCTTTTTCTAGCTTACTCCAGATAACCCTTGACTCCAACAATTGTTAGACCTCACCATGACCTTAAAATCCATTAATCCTATAGATTTTCACAGTACCTCTCCCCTTCATACCCTCACTGCTTTCCTTATGCAAGTTTCTGTTCCTTATAATTTACTTTCATGTTGTATTCACTTGGCAAAACTCAAATCCTTATTAAATCTGACTGCCCGCTCTACACCCATGAAGCTGTTTGTGGTTACAGAAACACATGGAACCATAACCAGTCTCACTTCAAATTCATGAGCATAAACTCGTTAGCCATAATGCTGCCCAGAAATCTTACTACCAATGTAGAGATAGTAAGAAACACTTCCCTCTCCACCCCAACTATTGAGAGATCAAAGATTTTTCAATCTTCTTTTGCTCATCCAAATATAGACACGTCAGGACATTGAGGGGGTTGTTTTTACAAAAACATGATCATTTACACATGTTACTTGACAGTTGGGTTTTTCTTAATGCATCATGAGCATCTGTCTAGGTCTTTAAATGGACATAGACTAATTCATTCTTTTTTAAAAGTATGTATTTCATTCCATAGAACAGACATATCATGGGGCACCTGGATGGCTTGGTCAGTTAAGTGCCAGACTTCGGCTCAGGTCATGATCTCATGGTTCGTGGGTTCAAGTTCCACGTGGGGCTCTGTGTCGACAGCTCAGCCTGGAGCCTGCCTCAGATTCTGTGTCTCCCTCTCTCTCTACCCCTTCTTGGCTCTCTCTCTCTCTCTCTCAAAAGTAAATAAATGTTAAAATTTTTTTATTTTTTTTTAAAAGAACAGACATATCATGATTTATGTAATCCCCTACTGATTCAGTTGATTCCAGTCTTTTTCTACCATGAACAATGCTGAAGTAAATATACTGTTTATGTAGCCTTGCATAATTGTGCTTCTATTTCTAAAGAGTAGAGTTCTTAAAATGGGATTGCTGGGTTAGAAGTTACAATCAAAGGGAGTAGTTTTTATTTTAATAGGAGGTACCAGATAACTTTTCCAAAAAATGTTAGATCAGGTCACATTCCTAGGAGTTTGAAAGTACTATTTTCCCCATTATTCTCACCAGCATTGGATATTACTGCCTTCATATTCTTTGCTAATCTGAATGAAAAAATTATAATTGGCTTTTTAAATTTCTATTTCCCAGACTACAGGTGGAGTAGATTCTCTTGTATTTGTTAGCCATGTGACTTGCCTAGTAACCAATAATATCCTTTACTCATTCTCCTTTTGGGTTATCAATGTGTACAAGGCTGCTGCTGCTGCTGCTGCTTTTTTTTTTTTAAATGTTGGCCCTCTGGTTTAGAAACATTTTTTCACAATCTACTGCTTGTCTTTTGAGATTTATTGCCTTTTTTCCATTAAAATTTAAAATTTTATATAGCCGTATGTCTGGATTTTCCTTTATAGTGTCTGGCTATTCTGCCTTGTTTTGGATTGTATCCCCCACGTCAAGATGATAAAATAGTCTTTATTTTGTACTTAAAATCCAGACAATTAAATTTAACACTAAGATTCCAGGTGGATTAAAGACATTTTTATATATAGTAAGAGATAGGAAACCAGATTTCTTTTTTTTCTAAATGAACTATCAATTATGCTGCCACAGTTTACTTAGCAAACCTTCGAATGGCAATAGCTCTCACTCTAAGAAATTTATAATCACTTTATCCAATTTGTAAAAGTTGAGTGAAAATAAAAATTAGAATTTTGATTGGGATTAGATTATAATTAAGTTTAGAGACCTACCAATTTTGTTTCTAGTATTACAAATATATCCTGCATGAGACCCATTTTTTAAGGCATTACCAGTCTCAGAGGCAGGGGAAACTCTCTGAGGACCAACCCCCTCCCTGCCACACACACATTTAGTTGGGAGGAGAGCAGTAAGCAACTGAAATGGTAGGGCTCTCTTGAGGTCAGATGCCAGGACCAATGTTGAGAGAATGTTGTCTTCAAGAAGCTGGAGTGGTCGCAGGTTGGCTAGAGACATAAGCAGGATCACCACAAATTAAGGTCAAGAAATTAGTATCAAAGATGAATGATACAAAAAGCAAGCCACAGTGGGTGACAGCAGAAACAATGAACAACAAATATAGTTCATCACCTTCTTTCCAGGACTGCAGTAGACTAGCTATTTGTAAAATGTTTAAAGAAATAAGATTTTTGGAGGAAAATGGGCAGATTTGGAAAAAGATTTGTAGGAAAGAAAATGTTGAAGTAAACCAAAAGCAAAACTCAATGGATGGGTTAAAACAATTAGACACATAAAGAGAAAATCAGCTAGAAATTATATACAGTAAATGTACCAGGATATAGCACAGACAAGGAGAAAGAAAATGCAAGAGCTATTAAGAGATCTATAGCAGGGATTGGCAGAGTACATCCCAAAGAAATCCATACCTATTTTTCAATGGTCTTAACAATACCATAAGCAGGCAGGCAGAGAAATGGAGTGATCACCAAATAGAAATAATGAGTTATTAGCAACAATGACCACCAAAAAGAGTGGAATTAAATCTTCAAATTTTTGAGAGAAAAATAACTGTCAGCTTGAAATGCAAAGAAATTTTGGAGGGCTATGATTTTTCCAGAATTAAACATGCATGTGTTAATTGTGAAGTTTATTTTCTTATTGTGTATGTATATATAGCTTTCCTCGCATCACAACCTTTTGATACTGTCCCTTAGGACACAGTTGTCAGTAACAATGTATCTCAATCATGGCTGCTTCTGTTTGTTTGTTTTTTTTTATTAACAAAGTTTCATAATGTTAGCATCTCGTTTTTGCAATCTCTATGTCTGAACTGTTTGTCACAGGAGTGTGTGTATTGATGAAATTCTAAATTTGGGTGGTTAAAAAAAATTTCTTTAGGGAGGGAAGGAAAATCT